CACACTTCAAATTTCTCTCTAAAATAAATAATATAAATGCTGCAGAGCGAAAAGCTGAAAGTGAATATTTTAAGTTTATTATGACGAGTTTAGCCCCTGATGAATTAGAACATTACATATTGATAATCAGTGTTCTGATAATTTCGGTAATATGCGTAATTTAAAAATCGGTTAATTAATAGAGCCGATAAGCCTAATTTGTATTCTATATTAAGATGATATATACTATTAAAACTGATTATACACATGATTAATTATGTAATATCAGAATCCATCAGGGGCTAAACTCACCATAGTGAAATCTTCAAGTATTCACTTTTAGCTTTTTGCTTTGCAGCATTTATATTATTTATTTTAGAGAGAAATTTGAAGTGTGTGCTATTTTTATTTAAGTATGAGTATGCATTTATTAGTGTTGAAGTTAAAATCTTAATGTTTACATTAGAAATTTAGTGTCTGTGTGATTGTATATATATTAGTTTTTAAAGTATATATGTATAGTATTTCATAAGGTATCTCAGATATATATTAAGAAACACATGCTAATCATAAATAGTACTTCACTTGAGTATTGTGTATTGTTGTATACTGTTTAGGTGTATGATTATAGGTTTAATCGATCTTGTATAAATACTGAAATATGCTTCTTAAAAATTTTAGTCTATATTGGTCTTACAAGTTGTTTGATTAATATAATTTCAGATACTTTATAGAGAGCTATGTATACAGTAATTATGTTATAACTATTGAAGATAAGATTGATATGGCCAAAAAGTACGTACATACAATTACGGAAGGTAAGTGATGACAATAGCGATAAAGATAACTCAAAAAGTTGGATAAATAGAAAGTGAGAGATATGGGAAAAAATTATTTGTTACACTATAATAATTATTACATGTTTTGAGTAATTTTTTTTGAATAAATCTTCAGATGATTTTAGTCATATTGCATATTTTAATTTTGGCATGGAATATTTGTGTTTTAAAGATAATTTATTGTCTGTCATATAATTTAAAATATTTGATTGTTGACATATGATTTTGATATGTAATATTTATAATTTGGGCTTAGAATGATGTCGATATAATGAATGAGAATTGTTGCGAATAAATTTGATTTTTATTCTGTAATAAAGTTAGAGTTTTTGTGAAAATTTAATCTTGATGTGAATATAATGGGTAAATTAAGTAATTTATAAATGAAAATAAGTAATTTAAGGTTTATGAATATAATAATAGATTTAATTGGTGTATGAAGTAAGTATGAAAAATTTTGTATTATAAATGAAAATTTATTAAAAAAGAGAAAACTGTAAATTTCAAAAAATTTTTTTTATTTATTAAGTATCATTAAATTGAATAGTAGTTTGAATTAGTGTGCGGAGATAGAAAGACTGGATTATAGTAATAATAATTTATTTTAATAATAGTCAATAAAATAATAATAAAATAAAATGAATAAATATTTATAGTAAGCTAGGTTAACAATTAATGAAATATATTTATTCTTCATTATCGCTTATATTTATAACTTTAGAATTATGTGTTCTCTTAGTATTATGCATATTTTTACTATTTTTATTTTTTTTGCTATGACTATGTACTTTTGATTGATTATTTATTTGTATTTATTATTTTCTGTAATTGTTTTATTATTTTTTTTCTTCATAGGTAGTTTTAGCTATTTCTTGGTTTGTTTGTGGTTCATCTTCACTAATACTTGCAGTTTTTGTTTTTACATATTTTGAACTTTGAGAGCTTGGTGATGATGAATTAGATTGGTAAGACTTTGTGCTGTTAAGATCTAATGTATTCATTGGATTTGAAATTTTAAGATGTTTTCAGATCCTTCAAAGATGTTTTGGTAAATAATTAAAAGTTTGGATTTTGTCGATTTTTGTAATGATGTTAGAACTTGTGAAATATTGAGTTCAAATAACTATTTTTTCATTGCTTGCACATCAATATATGAAATTTCTTTTGCATCTACATAGACTTCATTTTGAATAATTTCAAGTTGACCAATGACAAAAAGTATTGATTTGCCAGGTCGAATTGAATTCTTAAAATGTTTAAATCATGAATTAAAGTATGGATAAATAATATTAACTGTAAAATTGTGTTCTTGGGTAGTATAATTATTAACCAAGGTTTTAATAATAGCATTTTCAGTGTTTTTAACTTTTTTAGATATATTTTGAATGATATCAATTAAAGAAGTATTCAATGAACAATTGTTTGCACTGAATATTCTATTAATAGTAATGTTTGTTGATATTGCAACTGTTATCTATATTTGGTAGATACCAATTAGAGTAATTTTATTGCATTTATTTATTATTATAATTTTATTAAACATCAATAGTATTACTTTTGGTCTTTTAGTATTACAATAGCATTCAGGTAAGATTTTTTCACTGATGATATAGTATCTTTTTTTTTCAAAAACAGCTTGATTGTCAGGATCTCTATTATTAAATTCAATTGGTATGAACATTATCATTTCAATTTTGTTATATTCGTGCTCAATAGGGTATATATCGATGACCTATACAATTATCGAGTTGATATTTTCATATGCAGTTTGTTAAACTTGATGAATTTTTACAATCATATTACAATAATACGATATTATAATTTTTTTTTCAATAAGTTTGTTGAGAGAGATTTTTTGTTTTTACTTCTAAAGTTAAATATTTTATCTGTTTATAAATAAATTGTGTTAATATACAGTGTTATTTAATTTTAGATGATAATTGCAACAATTATTTACCAAATTTGCTATAGTATAATATTCTATAATTTATAATTGTAGTTTAATACATAAAAATTTTTATTTATTTTCTATAATTTATTTAAACATCATTTAGACATGAGTATTTTCACGTTGATGATTAATAAATAAATTAAAAATTAAATAACTAGTTTTTTTTTGTATTATTATTTTTATATATTTAATTTTAGAAGATCATCTAGAATATATTAATAAAAACTTTAGTTAGTTTAGTTATTGTTGAATTATTCAATTTTAAAATTATATTTAGTATGTTTAAAATTTTAGAGCATATGTTGAATACTTATTTAAATGTATTTGACATATTAATTTGTTGTATTTATATAAAATTTGAATGAACATAAAATATAGTTAATTTGAACAGGATTTTTTATTATCCTAATAGTTTAAAAGCATTTATTGAAGAGTTAATAATGCCTTAAAAAATAGTGTATTATTAGTATATTTATCTTAGTTTATATAAGGGGTTTGAGAAATTTTGTATTTATATAATTTTGTATATAGTTGCAGACTTATTTATATTATTAGTTACAGTATATTATTTTATAAATCAAATTTTGTATAGGATGAAACTAAGGGTGGTTTCAAGTATTTCTTTGAGTGTAATTAGCTAGTTATAGAGATTATGCATAAGTACTATAATTAATTGAACTAAACTTTACTTCAATTGAAGATTCATATTGCAAACTGCAGCTATTAAATTTTAGCCAATCATTACAATTCTATTACAAAAAATCTTTTTTTTAATAGAACAGAATAATTTATTTTTCGCGAAGTAAAAATTGAACTCAGATCTATTAATTTTGATTCTTAAGAGCACCCTAAGTGATGATATAAATTGCGTTTATAAGAACATATGAGAGAAGTTAGTGAATTAATTAACTTTGAGTCAAATATGTATATATAAAAAGGATGAAAAAATATAAATTACTATATATACTCTTGTTTTAAACAAAAATTGTAAATTGATAAAAGTGAATTGCATATCTAAATTAAAATGTATGTATTAGAATGTTTATATTTTTCTTCTAATCTGTAGTTACTTATATACTAATTAAAATGATAATTTTTTTTAAAAAATAAAATTGATTCTAAGATTTTAGATATAGAGAACCAAGTAATATATCTGTTACATGATCTTCATATAATTGCTAAAAGCAAAAAATAATAATTATTTTAAATAAATATAAATAAATTGTAATAATTTTAGCAGTGTCAGGTTATTTGTATATGCTTGACTATTAATATTTGATAATATATTAGTTTATTGGTTTATTTATTAATTTTTATTTATTGAATTAGTTCTTTATAGACAATATTAATTGTTTTAGCTGTTACATTATCTTCTGCCAATAAAATTAAGCAATAATTTCTATTTTTAATACAGGAGATAGCAGTATATAGTTGTTATGAACAAACACGTAAGTTCAAAGATTTATAACAACACAATCTAAAGTAAGGCCTTGACAACTATTGAAAGTTGTAGAGTAAGTTAGTCGTAATGAAAACTGCTTTTGAAATACTGTCTACGAGCAGTAATCTAGTTGAAAGTAAAAATTTATTCTAGGAAATAAGTAGACTTCAGGTATATTATTTAATTAGTTATCATTAAGTAATATTACTTCAACTAATTGTTGACCTAATTTAGTTATCATTATTTGTGTATTTTTTACTAATTCTTTTTCAACAGAGATATTTTGTATGATAGTACAAATAGCACCAACTTTTAGATAAATCTCATGATTAGGTATTCTGAGATGAGTTAACTAAACCAAATAATCTGATGTTGCAATAGGATAATCATGTAATATTTTGTCATTTTCTTTAACAATATCATAACTAAAATACATGCAAGCAGTTTCTGATAAAATGGCAAAAATTTTATTATTAAAATTTTTCACAAAATATTGCAAAAACAAAGGAAAGCTCTTTTTTGTAATATAGTATAGTTTGTTAACAGGTTTTTTAGATATAGAAAAGAGATTGCTTTGCTGATATCTTGAGTTATTTGGAAAATATCTATAGATATATTAGATTCTTACCAGTTATTTCTGATAGCATCAATGAACTCAGCAAACTCTAGATCATTCGCATTGTGTATGGGTTGGTTAAGGATATATTTATTAAAGTGAGCCCACAAATGTGAGATATTAATTAATGCATCAATTGTATCACTCTTGTCTGCTCCCTTAACTACTGGTGCTACTTGTCTGAATCTCCAATCTCTATAACTGGTTTTCTTCCAAATGGTTCATTTTTATTACAGATTTGTTTGAGAAGAAGATCAACACAATCTAATATGGCTTTATTAGCCATTGGAAGTTCATTCCAAATTATTAATACTGATTCACAAATTAAATCTGCATGACTACTAAAATATTTAATTGTTGATTGAATATTAATGTTATTTTCCTCTACAGATATTCTGAATAATGAATGAGCCATATGTCCACCTTCATACAATAGTGCTGCTAGTGCAGTAGTTCCACAAGATAAACCAATTTTTTTTGCAGCTCAGATTGAATGACAAATAGCATTAATAATGAAAGTTTTACTATAACCAGCTTTTTCTATCCAAAAATTTTAAAATTTTTGTTACTGGAATAAAATTATTTTTCTGCTTCTAAAGTATATAAGTTACTACTTCATCATGAAATATTAATTGTTTTAAGATCACTTTTAAGCAGTATTCACGAAACTGTTAACTGTATAGATCTAGTCTGAATAGTGTCGATATTCCGCTATCACTTCCTGAGTCTATATTTGCGGCTCTAAAATTCCAAATCACACATATGCTGTTTATGCTCTGCAAGCATAGAAGCTATCTGTTGAAGTGTAATATTAGTAGCACAGAATTGATTGTCATAAAATTCTTCTCTTACATCTGCATAAAGATTTCAACTAAATTTTTGCCAGATTTTAAATGCAAGGACATCATCTAGAATTAGTTGTAAAACAAAAAATGCAATTGTGCTGATGTAGAGAAATTTTTAACAGCTTCTTTCATGGTAAACATACCCTCATGTTTATTTATAAACAAACCTATTTCATATGCAGTTTTTTGGTAAGTAGAATACATAATTCCATTGAATGTTTTAGTTTCATCTCATGTTTGAACAGCACAATGCATCAAAATGCATCTCAAATAAAAGAGTTCACTGAATCTTGATATAACTAAAACAATTCAAGTAATTTTATTAATAGTTCATTTATGTACAATTTTTTTTAATATACTATTTTGTTCTTGTTTAAGAAAATCACCTTTATGTATGTTCTGTTGTTTATAAAGGTATAGTATATATTGCTCATAATATTCTGTATATTTAAAGTTATCAAATAAAGATTCAATTGATTGAAGAAAATAACAACTTAAAAGAGATATGGATAAACTATAATATGAATAGAAATATTGTGAAAATGTGCATTAAAAAGATAAATATAAAGAGTTTGTACTAGTAAATCTGTTAATATTATATAATAATGAAAAATTCTCTATGCAGCTTCATGCGCTAATAGATATCTTTCTTTTATATAGTCTTTAAATTCATTTATGGACTGTTGTTTGGATAAAAGATTACTGTTATTTACAGTTTGATAAATTGGATTAGTTGGTCCAGAATTTTGTGAATCAGATTGGTTAGTATCAGTTAAAGTATAGTTGATATAGTCAGATCCCTTAAAAAAATACTTATATAAATACATAAATATATATACAGTCAAAGCTATTTCAAAATTAATGTAATATTCTAATTTTATTATTAGCACAAGATTATACAGTACAATCCACGCATCTTCTTGTGTTCATCTACAATAATAGATATAACCTTTTTCATTAATATAAGTTACTGGAACAATTGGCTTCAGATATTGATAAATATAAACACCATTATGAAGACAATGGAATGAATGTTGTTGTCTATGAAGCATAAATTTTTTAATCATTTCTTTTAAGCATCCATCTTTATAAGGCATTTCAGCAGAAATAATCTTGTCAATTTGATCTATTGAGAGTTTAGAGTACATATACATAACTATGTAGGTGTGTAAAAGCCCATGTTTATAAAATTCTATTACATTAATTATATATGCAATTGATCCAAAGTGCTCACATAACAGATCCTTTAATTTTTCAAATCGAGAGTGAAATGCATGTGCAACAAATATTGCTAATTCAGATACATTTTGTCCAAGTTTCAAAATGATTAGATTTCTTCTTAGTTTGGATTCGACATCATTATTATGGAAAAACTTGGCTTTCTCCAGCAACAAGCAAGCACAAGTGCATTAGCAACACATGCAAAGCACCACTTTTTTGATCCCATAAATGAAATAGGAAGATGAAAATTTCCCCTGTCTGCACTATCATTATCAAAATCTTCTTCAATTGCTACAAAATTTAGTATTTGTGTTTTTTTTTCTTTTTGAAGTTGATTTTTTTATTTAAATTCAAACATTCTTCCTCAATATGTGAATACATATCCACCAGATATTCAGATATTAGGCTTCCATAAAATAAAAACTGCTGCTCATGTAATAAACGACAGCAATACCAATTGATTTGTGATAAGTTATAAGAATTATTGGCATGCCAACCTAGTGTTCCATGAGAAAAAACAGTAAATATTGAAGGGGTTTATATTGGGAACTAGGAATATTTATAAATTCTAATGTAGCATCTGCATAACACCAAATTACAATACTACATGAAGATATATTAACAGCATTATTTGCATGCATAATGACAGCTACCTCACTGATGGAAGTGTTTTCACATAGTTCAAATGCTGCTGTATAAGAAAATTTTCTTGAAATATTTATAAAGAATATACATAAAGATTAACACAAAGTAATATGAATTGAATAATAGATATCTATATTTGATATTGAGACTCTTTCTGCTCATCATCTGTACACAAAATTTTGTCACAATAATTTTTACATTTTCTCAATATATGGAAAATTTTATAAGTTAACAACCTTTTATCTCTTAATAATATTTGTTCAGCTACTGTTTTTACATATATTTGTAAAGTTTTAAGTCTTTATCTCTTATCATTTTTGAGATATTCAACTTACAAAGATAGGCAGACAAAACTCTGTTCTCTTCCTATAGTTTTGCCCTCCTTGGCAAACTGGGCTTAATAACATATTGATACTTCATAATTGAATTTGCAGAGCTCATCTCT